AGTCCGATGCTCAACCGACTGAGCCACCCAGGCGCCCCTCGAATCAACACTTTAAAGCCTACACACTATGTCAATGATATCTCAGTAAAAAAATTTTAAAGCTCTAGTAATCTTTTAAAAAGAAAAAAAAAAGTAGAGTATGCACCAGAGAGCAAAGTAAAGAAGCTGTTCGGGAAGCTGCCTTGGCCCGTTGGCCTAAGGAAGAGGGGCGGGAGTCCGTGGGGCCAGATGCAGACACAGGTTCTCACACAAAGTGCTCACTTTGCAGCCCTCGGCCCATTGTCTACGTGGAGATGCCTGACAGGTCTTTCCTGCGAAAACCCTGTCACTCAGCATTTCTTTCAATACTAAATAAAATGACTGAATATGGAAAAGGGGAACATTGTGTAAGGGTTAAGTGTAGGAAGATGGAGGAAGAAATTTGAAACTGATCGTCAGTCGCTCCAGAAGGACGTCCTCCTTCTGCTTGAAGAATCACAAGGTGGGGGTCAAATTGGAGTATTTTTTGTTTTTAAGGACTGACTCAACACAGTAGTAAGTCGAATTCCTGCCATACAGCCTGGTGTGTTAGGGTGACTCACAGGGACAGCTCAGGTGCCAAAACAAACAGGTTCTGCAGCTTACATTAAAAAAAGAATAGGAGGTTTGAAGAAAATGCATGATTCTGCTCTAAATTAGAAGAGAACTAAAATGTTAAAGCAAAAATCCACGTGCTGCCAATAAAGTCTGTAGAATTCGGTCCTTGCGGTCTCTCAAAGTGAACTCTGGAGGGCTCTGTGAGATGGCTTGGGGTCAGGGATAAAGCGTCCTTGACGCTCTCTGGCTGGCTGACTTTTAGAATTCACCCCCTCTGACTTCCCGCCATCTTTGGTCCCATCTAACGACTGTTCTGGTTAAATCCGAGATCGTTTGATGTGATTCTACTGAAACCCTCACAAATGTTCGAGGCAAGTGGCAATTTAGAATTTAGAAAAGGAGTTTTCAGTTGTCTCAGAAATAGAACACACAGTACCTTTTATACCTCGACCAAGTACATAAACACACTGGTTCTAACAAACAAGCTGAAAATGTTTCACAGAATGGCGTCTACTCTAGAATTCATATTGTATTCGGATCTTTTTTTATTCTACTCTGTTCACTTTTTAAAAATGCTGCTGAAAGCCCACTAAATTGAATTTATATCCGCTAACAGGTTATGCACCAGTATGAACAACACAGGTTTAGGAAGTGCATTTTTCTCTATTTTAGTTACTTAGAGTGGAATGATAGAGAGCTAAGATTATAAGCTAAAAAAAGCTAAAAAGCACCTGATGTTGACATTCAGGGACTTCTGGTTTAAAGAACAGAGGGGACAAGGATATTTATTTAAAAAAACAGTGGGGCACCTGGGTGGCTCAGTCAGTTGAGTGTCTGACTTCGGCTTGGGTCACGAACTCCGCAGTTGGAGAGTTCGAGCCCCACACTGGGCTCGCTGCTGTCAGTGCAAAGCCTGCTTCAGATCCTCTGCGCCCCTCTCTCTGCTCCTCTCTCTCTCTTAAAAATAAATAAACGTTAAAAAAATTAAAAAAAAAAACCACAACGATCCAGTAGCTACCACTTACTTCCTGCTCTGTACCCCGTTGCACCATCAGGCTCTTGGCGAACAACTTTCTCTCATTTTCCCAACAAC